GTTCAGCAGTTGACCAAATTCAGCAGGTTGCATATCATAAGTATTTGAGGAACTCCATGTCCTTGCAGTTGGCTCAGCAGTCTCTAAGGACAATCTGAGCCTCAGGGCAGCTCTGAACAGACTGTGCCCTGGGCCAGCCGCACCCAGGGGCATTTCCAAGAGGGACACGGAACTATCCCCCTGGTCCACTGCTCCCTCACTGAGCCGCATCCCCAGATAGCAAATGCCACCTCACCCTCAAGCTCACTGAAGGCAGTAGTCACAAAAGATGCCCAATGAATGACTGTTCTGTTTTGCGCAATGGGGTGGCTCAGGTGATAGAATTATATGAGAGAGAGTTCCAGGTGGGAAAAAAAAAAGTCCTTGTTTCCTCTCAGGACACAGTGACACTTTAGATCTCCCTCTCCTTGACATAGATTCCAAAGCGATTGATGACCAGAGTCCCAGCACAGAGATGACCGAGCAGGACAGGGAACAGCCCTTTTTGACAGCCTCTTTTGGAATGTGCTAGCTGCTCGCTGTGAACTTGTCTTTGTCTTGTTTTGCTCCGTAATGTGCTTTTGTCCTCCCCACCACAGTGAAACATTCTCATTTGTCTTAACTGGAGAAGATGGGAGCAGAAGGTTCGGTTACTGCCGGAGACTGCTGGTTAGTATGTTTGCTTCTCAGTCAGCCAGGGCTCTGTGCAGAGCCAGTGCTGGCGTCCTGGGGTTCACCAGGCGCCCCGAGCGAGTGAGGGGGCACTGGGGTGTGGCAGGTTCCCTACGGTCTTTAAAAATGTGGAGATCAGAAGACTCTCAGCTCACCTGAGTCTTACTGGCAGATGGGAACAATGCCTCTGTCTTCTTTGGGAAGAAAATACTTTCTCCAATGTTTTCCTCACCAAATAAAAGATCTTTCTCTTCTTAAACCAAATGTCCTTTCTAATAAAACATGCTAAACAGACTTTGATGGCTCAGGGAGATCATGCATAATAGTTGCTTGGGGCAGAAGAAGGATGGTTTTATTGTTCATGATGCAAATAATTCAAGACCGTCTCCTTCAGAACAGTCACTTTTTAAAGTCGAAGACTAAAAATAAATAAATAAAAATAAAAGTCAGAAACTTAATCCAATGAAATAACCATGCTAAAACATTTTAAAACTTATCTTCTGAGAACCATTCTTTGAAAATCTTCAGTAGTAACAAAGCATTGTCCACTGAGAATGATAACAGTTTTAGAAATAGGCTAATATAGAGTTGAAAATAATGCATGGCACACGGGTGTTCAATAAATATTTGTTGAATTAGTGAATAAAAAGTATGGATAATAATTGAAAAAGTTAAGTGGGATCATAATTTTTGTTGATAAAATTAAAGTACTAAGGTTGATTTTCTTTTTGGTTTGAAAATGAGCTTAAAAGTCAGTTTCTAAAAAGGATTTTCAGAAATTATCTCTCCTTTAGAATTATCATTATAATAAACATATATTCTCAACCTTAAAGGAACTCTAGTGATTTGAGGAAACAAATTCAGCCTTACTTTATGGTTCCCTAGGCCATATTGAGCACCTACTGTGTGCAAAACACCTTTGATTTGGTTCCTTCTGGGGGATAAAAAATATATATACCGCATAATCAGGAGTGCTTCCCACTTGTAAAACGGGGTATTGATAACTACTCACCGCCCTGGGTGTCCAAAGGTCTGGTACATGGAAACATCCGGCACAATAGGCACAAAGACGTCTGGGTTTCTCCCTTCCCCGAGGTCGGTAACACTCGTGATTTCTTTGTGTTTCACTCCGAAAAGCCTGGCGGCAAAGGGAAGCGTCTCCCCGAAGTTTACTGCATCGTGAGCCGCCTGGGGTGCTTCAGCCTCTTTTCAAAGGTGAGGACTTGGGCCTCGGAGAAAGGAGGAAGGGAAGGCAAGGCAGGGCCCTACGGACTCAGCAAACACCCCGGCTTCCGGTTCTTTCATAATCTTATTCTCCACTATTTTCCTTTCCACTTCCTCCTCCGCCCCTCGTGGCCTCCGCTACTCTCTTATCCTTGGGACAGGAAATGACAGTTGATGAAGGTCAGGGCTCAGAAACTGGGGATGGGGAGAGACTCAAAGTAATTGTAGTTGAGGATGAGAGGGGCAGAGGATCTTTTCAGAATATTCCGTGTTTTACTTCCCTTCTTCTAAGCATTTTTCGTCATATTAGCTTCCGCTGGACAAAGAAGCTACTGTGATGGATGGATGGATGTATATGTATCTCTGTGTATATACGTGTTGTATATGTGTGTGTTGTGTGTGTAAGAGATTTACTATTGTAATAGTGCTCTAAGTCCATCAAAATCTTAATAATATTTGGTCCTCTTATTGAGAAAACAAGCCAATATATTAAAATACAGGAATTGCCATATTGAGTTGGCCCATCCATCCCAATTTTGAATTGTTATATAAGAGATAATTACTATCCTACATGGTGCCGATCTCAAAGATTAAGTGTAATCCAACATTTGTTTTTTATATTAACCGGACATAAGTATCTAATCCATAAACTTATTTTAAATCCTTCTCGAGCACATATTTCAGTCTGAGCTTTCTTGTGGAGAATTGGAGCCCCACATTCACTGTCCGTGGATGTAAATAAAGCAGCACTTCCTAAGAGCATTCTGAAACAAGAGTCTGCTCACCTCCTGCCCGCCCCCCAAACTCAGAGGAGGCCTGGATTATACTGCTGTAGTGTGACCTCTTGCCATGATAGAATTTGTCCTTTTATGCAAGTCTCTCTGAAATAATAGCATCGGTAGAACTCGGGATGTAGCCTCACCTCCAGTGCACCTGGCGGTTATCATTCTGCATTAGAGCTGGTCGTGTCTGAGCCCTGGCACAGGTGTGCATTGCTCTCATGCCAGTCTCACGTGGGTTTGCTTAAAGGTGGCGACAAGGCTGCAGGGCATAGCCTTGGTTTGAGAATGCTTATGAAAGCTGAGCGTAAGACAGCTCGCGTGTGTTAGCCCAGCTCCAGTGGCAGCTTCGGAGTTCACACAGAGTTCACTGCCACGTCGCGTGCCGGGGATGCAGAGCAAGTAAGCGTGCCAGCATACTGGTGTGATGCACAATCCTGAGATTGCATGTCAGTTTTGTGAAATCTTAGGAGTGTAGTGTGATGACTTGCCAAAGAACACACAGAGGACAGAACCAGAAACAGAGCTTCGGCTAACCGATCCCTACAACTCGAGCTATTTCCAGATGAGGGACGAGGATGACTAAAATGGCGAATTGTCCTTTAGTGCAGAAAGGAACCATGAATAAGAAGAACCCTTCTCAGGATCTCTGAAGA